GCAAGTGTTAACGGTATTAATCGTTATTCTATTTATATTGTGTTTGCACCCTTATATTATTTTACCTTCGGTCCTGATAATTAATATTCAAGTAGGCATTATACGCGGTCGCGTCGGTAAAGCCTTGCATTATAATAATAGTGCGGCCATAGACGTTTGTGCCGGTTTCTTTTGGTCGCTGTCTATCTATATAGTTAGGCCTTAAGCAGAATGTCTTATAAGACTCCAAACATAAGACAGTACTTCAAGACACGTAACGCACAATACTGTCTCATGTCTGGAGTTTTACAAGACAGCAATTCTGCTTAAAGCCTTATTGCAAGAATAAAAATGTGGGCACACGTTTTTCTCACCAAAACAAAAACGCACTTACAAGTACAAATCAAAGACATTTTAAAATTTGACCCCGACCGTTTTGACGATAGTGAAGAAGCAAAAAGAAAAGTGTTCTACATCATTCACAATAGGCAAAAGACACCGTGTCAGGTGACAAAAATTGCAGGTTTGTATACATTTTTTGATCTTGTTATTTCGTAGTATTAACAACGGAAATTCTAAGGATAAATAATTTATTATTTCATCAGAATCAAAAGAGGAATTATTACAAGGGAAACGAGTGCGTATACCGAAGTTGAATTATTCCGATGCAGAGACCAGTAATAATAATTCCAGTGACGAAGAAAAAGAACTGTCAAATCAGAAAAAAAGCCGAGAAGTAAGTAAAATTTACAATTAAAAAAATGGAGTCATAACAATTTTTAAGACATGAAATTTCCTATTTTGTAAAAAAATATATAAATAACGAAAAACACTTTGGCTGATTAGTCCGGTATACTCGATTTCAAAATATAAATGCATATTATCAAGTGTCTGCCTCGTGATTGATAAATGCATATAATTGCATATTAATAGTAGCACTTCAATACCAATAAGTAGATTTTGCTTCAAAAGATTGAAATGACAAATAATAAAAAATAATTTTAAATTGATCATTTCCGGAAAATCACTGTAATATTACATTTGGAATTTTTGATATTATATAAAAATTACAAAACTTGTTAGAAAGAGCAATCTTGTAGGAAAAAATTATTTTAAAAAAATCGATTTTTGTGACAAAATGGTTTTTCTTCTTCACTTCTTAGTATCTTTAATATAAAACTTCTGTCTTATGACATTATTATTTTATTTTTTATGTCAAATTAAAATAACTTTAATTCATTCAAAAATTCTATATTTTAGGCAAAAGAAAAGAGTTCGTCACAAATAAATCAAAATATTTTAATGGCTTATTTAAAAAGTATGGAAAAATACAGAAAAATAATGAGGTAACATTTAGAATTGTTTACAATTTATGTAATAATTTGTTATGCTATAAAAACGTCATTTTACTATTATTATGTCTATCAGTCTTACAAATTATTATATTTATCAGTCTTAGTATTATTTTTTTCTTTATTAGCTTATATTTACATTTTCTTATGTAGGAAAGTAAAATGCAGCACAGTATTGAACGAAATATCCATCGTGAGAATAGCCAAAAAAAACTATATTCTAAAGATCTGGTAGAATGCAGAGAAGAACTGGAACGCTGCCAAGAAAAGCTGCATTTATGTCAACTGCAACTTGAGGAAACGGCAGAAAAAGAGAAGCAATGGTCAGTAAAATACGCGAAACTAAAAGAAAGTAAGGCTTTTCCCTTGACGGAAGCCACAGGGCAGCAAATCGTGGATCTCCTCCTACAATTAAAGTTGGCAAAAGGTAAAATGGATAAGTTTTAAACTTATTTAAAGATAATAATTATTTCTAATATGTCTATATTACTAACTCGTTTTGAAATTGGACAGAAATCGCGATTTTAAAACATCGTGTTTTTTTAAGTCATTTAATTTTTTTACATAAAATATATGCAAAATAGTAAGAACATTATTTTTGTTTGTCAATAAACTCATTAACCGAATTTTGAATTGTTTAATAAGTTCAACAAATAAATTTTTATTCTGTTTGGTAATAATTAAAATATAATATATTCGATTCTATTTATCCGATATATCCGATTCTGTTTTATACAGTGATGAAAAACATCATTTATCATTTTAAAAATTAAAAGTATATAATTTAATAAACTATTTTGTATTTAAACATAATTAATTGCTATAATTGTTATAAACAATCAAATTAAAATTTATTCATCAGTATTGAAAATCCTACCCGAAAATTTTTTAAACATAACTTTATTACATTCTACATTTAATTAAACAAAAAATTTTTTTAGAGTGGATATTATATTTTGCTATTTTTTCTTGAATTTAAATTCAAGCGCGGTCCAACTTAAATTTTATAAAATAGTTTAATACATTGTATACTTTTTGCTATTAAATGAGTTTTTTACCACTGTGTACTACAAATAGAACTAGATATAATATTTTATAATTAAACAGAGTATACATATTCGTTCCAATTAAATTAAATAATTCATAAATCGATAAATCAATCTGTTTTGGCACACAAAGAAATACGTCCTTACTTTCTTCCGCATATTTCGTATAAAAAAATGTCAAATGACTTCAAAATACAGCTTTTTTGGTCTGATTTTAAAAAGAATCAGCCACGATGTTTTATATAATAATAAAATTATATAATGTATCCATATTTTTTTTCTAGGACGAACATTGCCACATCAACACCATGTGGCAAATAGTGATATATCTATCATGGACAACAATAATGAAGATGACAACTTCATAATTCCGAAAGAAGTGTATAATGAAATTATGCGGGAAAAAGATAATGGAAAAGTTTTAAATACCTTGTCATACGCAGCCTGGGGCATAGAAATCCTGGCAAATAGAGTCGTACGTTCAGCAGTAAACACACCGTACAAAGAACTGACTCCGCAGAAGAAAGCGGCTGTAGTAAATATGTACGAGCGATGGTTAAGAGAAACGCGTAAACTTCCCGAACACATAATCAATGAAGAAGTGGAAAGGAGGAAAATAAACGAAAGATTTAATAAAGCTATAACAGGAGCCCGCAAAAAACTACGTCAGATAACCGATAAAAAAACGATGACCGAAGAAGCATCAGCATTAAAAGAAAAATTTGAAAAGAATTTGCGTAATAATTCATCGGACATCAGTGATAAGGAATAAGTATTTTATATTATTATTTTTGTTTTTAGGTTTTATTTATAGATGATGTTTGTCATGAAAAGCCAAGACAAGGCATTTTCTTTATTTTATTGTTGCAATAAAAACCAAAGAACATAAAGTTGATTGGAACGAACAGTGATAAGTTCGAATGAGTAGAGTTTTTAGGTTTTGTTTTGTACAAGACGTTATAGACGTAATTTATTTGTTGATGTTTATCAGTTTTTACGTTCCAAATGGATTATTATATAAGTAATTATTTTACCTAGAATCTTTATCTACGCAATCAGTATCAGAAAAATAATGTATCTTTATGTTATTAAAAATTAAAAGCAAAATATTTGCGCACATACAAAATAAAATATTGTGGTGCAAAGACATTTGTAATTTTTTTTTCAAATTAAATAATATATATAAAAATATGTGTTCTATTTCTATATATCTATTATATATATAAATTTACAGCTAGTAGACAATTTTATTTGTTTCGTAGACTTCTGAGGACTTCTGAAGAAATAATAATTACGAATTTCTACAAAAACTTCACAATGGTTTAATTATAATTTATATAATTTTTTTAGGGTGATCTATACTACATATATTCAAAAACGACTGAAGAAAATATTAGCACATATATAATAGAAGAATAATCGTCTATTGTTTTCTCTAAGTTTTTTTTTGT